TGCCTGCTTGCAAAGTCACAATTTGATTTGACTGATGACTCCTCTGCCCTTAGCACCCTCCCCCAGTACCAGAAAGTTTGGGAAATGTTGAGTATCTTCCTGGTTTCGGCGAAGGAGGCGATCGGCCATAGGTAAGTGTGGGAGGACGGGCGTAATAGAAAAGGTACTTGGTGGGTTTTTTTTGCCTCAATGCAAAGAATGCATTAAGGTAAAAAAACACCAAGCCTTTTAGTGCTACTTTAAGTGCACTGCATAACCTGTCTGGTTATACTTTCTCACCTTCCAAAGGCTCTTTAATTTGGGTCAGCCACTATAGTGGTTAATGCACTTTTTACCCACTGCAGAGCCAGACAGGTGACACCTTTAATCTTCAAAAATTTAACTTTCTGGTTCAGCTAATTATGTTAACTCTTTCCCCAGCCTTCTCATTGAACAGTGAGTCAGCATTATAACTTTTGTGCAGTAAATAGAAAGCTGACCTAAGAAGCAGTAATGCACCTCCCAGAAAGTAGCAGAGTACAGGTGACCAAAATGACAGAGCCTTTGGCAAATAAAACAGTAAACATTTGTATATTGCAACACTTATATCCTTCTGAAATGCAACTTTCTAGCTCAGCTTCCTATGTTAACTATTTCTCCATCCTTCTCATTGGACAGTGAATCAGCAAATAACTTTCACCCAGTGGACAGGATGCTCCATAAGAAGCAGTAATGCATCTGTAACCTATGTTAATATGTTTTTTTCTATGATTGAAAAAGCAGTTAGATGTGCACTACTCCTCAAGTGTCCAACAAGGAAAAAATAAGTGAAAACATGAGCGTGCAGAGAAAACCAACAACATCAGCTAATGTCTTACCGTTGCTGCAGCCTATTTATTTTGTGACTTGCTACAAAATCACAATGTTACAGCCTTATCACTGGAGAAGAGGAGACCCTATTTTCCTTTTTTTTACAATCTTAAATCAAACCTGTGGTTTCCCTATGCAAGACAAAGCAAAACAACAGGTTTGTGTTAATGCCTCCCTCCCCAGCAAAACATACTCACCTTTCCACTCATCCTTTTGGCCACCAGAAGCAAAGAATATAGCCATAAAAGAGCATGTGATTTCCTCTCGTGACGGTGATGGTACTTGGTGATTGGCTCAGCACTGTTACATGGGACTAAGGAGAGTCATCAGCCCTATGTAAGCTCAAACTGGTGCAACATATGCTTTTTTTTGTCATTACTAGCAGCTGAATGTAGTAGTTAGTATAAGGAGCATAAAGAGGTCCTGTACTATGAATGTTGTTTCTCAGACAAGGCAATTTGGCTTAAGGACTAGTCACCAGTATTCTCTATAGATGCTCTGCAGAATATGTTTTCCCTATTACCATCTTACCATGCCCTCTTCAACACTGTGCCCTTGTGTGTGGGCAGCCATCTTGGTAGAGGAGCAGGGCTTTGCTTCCTCATGTTAGAGCTGCTCCTTTCAGCTGGCAATCTGATAACTGGTGGGTAATAACGAAGAAGCAGTGGAAGAGGTTTAGGGAGGACAGATCTACAGAGTGAACAAAGCAGAGCAGGGGGATGCCGGTCTTTAGCAAGCAGCACATTAGTGACATCACCAAATCTTTCTCCAAATCTCATAAGACTGGCAGTCAAAGGCAGCAATGCCTTAGTTGATATAACACACCAGATATACAACTATTAGGCTGCAGAACGTGCCTTCTTAGGTATAATCACAAATGCATTGCTATTTTCAGGAGAAATTCATTGAAAAAGGTAGACTTTTCAGAGTACTGCTGAATTAACCTCTCTATATAATCCTTATACGATTGCAAATCTTCACTTTCTACTTTAAAGCAAACCTGTTGTTTTGCCTTGCATGGGGCATTTGACTTTTGATTACCATTGTCATTTCTGGGAAACATTTTTCTCGTTTAGAAAAGAAAACTGAAGCATGCAAAGTCTTGGTCGGATTTAGCCTTCTATAAAAGTTTTTATTTTTCTGTTTCCATGTATTGAAAGGTCATAAGTCTGAGCTTACAATTTTCTTCTCTTCGGTATTATTACCGGAACGGTGTGAGTCATTTGGTTTAGAATAATTCAGGGCTGCTTGGATTGATACCTTATTACAGTAGTGTTTACATAAAGAATGGTTTAGGGAGTAAAGTTTTGATAAGGAGACTTGCACTCTGACCTTCAATCAGATAAATGCAGGTTAAATATTTGATAGATCCATTTTACAATGATCTTTATTTGCATTTATTTAATTAATAGTACAGAGCTTATGTGAATTGAGATATTAATTACGTGTACTACACATTGTATACAATGTCCTCCCTAAATTACTCACTTAACCCCAGTAATGCATTTTTAGTGTAGCCCAGCCTTAATCTTTGCTGGTCATCACACTGCACAGTTTGAAACATTTATATAACGATGTCTTCAGAAAGTGATGTATTTGCTCCGCTTGTGATCCAGTGAAACCAGGCCTACAGTTTGATTTGAAGAAGGGATTGCTCACTGTAAATCGCCATGCAAGGCAAGGCATCAAGTTGATTTTAATGCCCATTCCTGCTGTAGCTGATACTTACCTTCTCTTTGCTCCCCCATCACTACTTTCCTCCACTCAAGCAAGGAGAATGAGAATAAACCGTGTGTAAGCATTAAGTTTGTACCTGGAGATTATATTATTATTATTATAATTATACAGGATTTATATAGCGCCAACAGTTTGTGCAGCACTTTACAATATAAGAAAGACAATACAATTCAAGACAAGATGATAAGGAGGGCCCTGCCCGTGAGGGCTTACAATCTAAAAGGGAGAACTGTTTTCCTATCACATACAACAACCCTGGTTCGCTGGATGGCCAATCACAAAACACCAGCTCTGCCACTTGGAAGGAAAAAGAGAGAGTGAGTAGCATTCTCTCCTATAACTGGAAGTCCTGGCATTGTGTGTCCAGCAGTTACAAAAAGGTTGGCAGAAGGAAATGTTGAGCGCAGCAGGATTCCAGGAGATTGACGTTCCTGGAAACATTGGTTTGTGTACAGATTTCAGGGGATAATTTCTCTTGATTAAAGCACCGTTTGGCCACATGGGTAGCAGGGGATGTAAGTATTTACTGTTTTCTTCAAAAACATTTTTGGGCACTTTCATTTAAGGGACAGAGTTACTTTAAATCCAGAAATGGGATAAAGTCTTCCATTTTTACTGACTCTTGTTATGAACTTGATTAACTTTATAGAAAGGATATTGATTTGTAGTTCTGCCCCTTTTTGGGCACCAAATCCATTGGCCCTTTTTTTCCCCTGCTACAGGTATGACACCTTAAAAGCTCCATTGAATTTTTTTTTTTTGTGTTATTCCCCTATCACAAATGCGTGCAATTGTTAGGCGTGTTGGAGGTTCTTTTGTATACTCACGCCTCCATTGTCCTTGTACTTCCGCAACGTTCTCGAATTTCAAATACCACTTCAAAATGGTCTTACACTCCTCGAACGACAACCGTGCTTCCACCATTTCCTTTGACTGTCCTGCCTGCCGCATGGAAATGCTAGCATTCGTTTGAATAACAATTTAATTAGGGGAGCGTTTACCTGAGCCCCAAAAACACTTTGGCTATATCCCCAAAAAAGATGGATCTGGACTATTAAAAGGAGTCTGGTGCTTCAATTCACTATCCTGTATCTGACACTAAAAACCAAGGGGACAGTGGAGATCTACTGGGATGTAGATGTTGCCTGTCCAGTAGTCAGAAAAGCGTGCTGGATTACTGTGATCCTAATTCATTTTAGTACTTTATTCCTGTGGTGTAGTGGTGTATGCATATAGGGCAATGCCGCGAATGGCGCTCGTGCAGAAGAACTTTCTTGGCCAAACCTCGTAGTTCTAAGGAAACCAGAAGTCAGGCGGTCCCAGAACTCGATAAATTGGGACTATCGATAGAACACCGGCCCAAGTGGCTCCGTTGGCTAATGAAGGGAAGGGGGGAGGAGTCCGAGCACGCCCCTAAGGCCGGCCCTGCATGGGGGGTTATTTCTTAAGACCTGTTACCATAGAAATCAATCCACCGGCCCTTATGTCAGTACTGTGTCTTGTAGTGACATGAGACTAGTGGTAGAAACCACAAAGCACTGTAGAGGAACATAAATTTAATAATCCTGTAAGTGTAGGATTCTAAAGATTCAGCTGGAGTAGTGAGCATTTTATTTGACCTTTAAATTATTATTTTTCCAAAATACTGTAATAGTTTGAAAGCTCACAGCTGCAGACAGAATAATATTCCCTCAGCACTGGGGCATTGTACAAGGGTTAAAAAGGTTTCCCTCTTTCCCATATCTAAACGTTGGGAGGTATGACCATGTCAGACCTGACACACAAAGTTACAGAGAAAGACAGGAAAAGTAACTGTGGAGCACTGCTAATCAGGAAGTGCAGCCTGCATATATAATGAGCAAACATGGTTGACCTGATGTGTATATCTGTAATTACAGACTATAAACAGAAATAAAGTTTTTAAAATATTTGTTCTTATTAATAACTTTATACGCAATAAGCTAATCACATTCACATATTAAAAGTGAACCTGGCATCAGGTATATGTTCATGTTGTTTCATGTGCATGCAGCATTGCTAAGTATTATGTCACTAACACTTCCCGGTATTTATTACCTCACACATAGATCATAATACTCCCCCTTACAATTCTTTTATCTTTTTTCCTCTCTAGAGGAATGGTCATATCTTTGTTCAGGTCGCCATTTATTTTCTGGACTAACATGCCCACTCGGAGATAACACAGTTCTTGGATATGATCGCAAATGTCTGACACAGATCAGTCCATGCTGCAGCCCCTCACCTTGTGGCTTGTTACACAATTACAATGCCGTACTCTGATCATTGAGAGAGAGGGGAGAATGAGTAAATGCTCCCTCTTGTTTGCAGCAGACTGGTGACATCATCTCAGCTTAGGCAAAGTCACAGGCCAGCTTTTTATGATGAAAAAGGTGGAGCTTTTCTGAAATAGCTGAATTCTAAAAAGCTTATCAGGAATATGTTCGGACTTGTAAATTTACTTAAAGTTCCACTTTAAGAAACTATACTTTACCTTTAACTTCACATTGTACTTTCAGAGGTTGGCAGTGTGGGTGAGCTGTGAATATTAAGCACTACGAAGATGTTTCTAAAGAAAGGTTTACACAATGTCAGTCATCCTATTTTTATCTTTTCTAATTCTTTCAGCTTTTCCTTTATCTGACTTTGTACACAGCAGAACACAGCCTTTATTTAAGTTCCATTTAGAATGCTGTGTTTTATGCCTTTCACAGCAGCTCCAACTATTATACTTAATCATTATTGTCATCTTTAGTTGCTAGGCTCTTAAATTGCTTCTTATCTTAATAATTTTAGAACTATAACTTTGCCATTAAAAAGCACCACTGGTTCCCTTTACCTTTTGACAGTTAGTTTCCGTTGAAAGTAAAGGACACTACGCCCCTGAATTGAACTAGGTGTTTGATTAATGGGTGTATTTTCATTTCTGCTTAGCTCTATTTTGTGCCATTGAAAAGGATTTGCTGATAAGATTTGTTGCTTCTAGTTTCAGCATGAAAAGCTTGGCTGCACAGCATCAAACAAAACCAAAGGTCTGATTGTCAATATATTAAAAATAAAAATAAAGTATACCCATGGTATAACATTTATTATGCACACCTTTTTAGTACACAGCGTGGGAAATAAGACTGATCCTGCTGCTGTAAACATTACCTAGTATGCTCTGCACATTTTAAACACTGTTGTACCACTTTTAAATATTCATAAATAGCAAATATCACTGCAGGATGTAACCTTCTCATCTGAACAAATGATTAAAAACATGTGCAAACACATAAATATGTAAACATATTTTTCAGCTATAGTTGTGTACATGTTTTATTATAGCAAGTGGATATGGCACAGATTAAAGGAGAACTATGAGGTGAGTGCCATTGAGACTGTCACAGGTCGGCTCAGTAGATTGGGAGGTGAGCGAACACATACCGGCGTTCGCTCACCTCTCGATCCTGTCACGGCTCTCTGCCGTGACAGGGGAGGGGCTGGATTCCCCCCTCCCCACTCCGATCCACCAGCGCTGACTGGCGGAACGGACGGGGAGGGGGCAGATATAGGTGGCTCTGCCTCTAGATAGGCAGAGCCAGCTGTCAGTCACGCAGCTGGGCGGATCCCGGCACAATTGTCGGGATCCGCTTCAGCTGCGACATCTCAGTATACCGCGAGCAGCAGCTCGCGGTATACTGAGCCTAGGGTGACGGGAGGACGCTAGTTTGTGTCCTCCCGTTACCCTAAGGAGAACTATGGGGAAAAGCCTTAACCCCATAGTTCTCCTTTAATAGATAGAAAACAATATATATATATTTTTACTGTTACTGATC